TGCGGGTACTCTACCAGGATAAGTGCGTCGACAGGCGCGTAGAGAAACGCATTCGATACGTCAATTTGTCGAAGTCGGAGATTACGGCAGGCGGCGACACAAAGTAGAATCTGAACGCTTGTATGTCGGCCGACAGGAGCAAAGGTTAGTTCATAGTCGATGCCGTAAGTCTGCTCAAATCTGCGGACAACCCATCGCACCTTGAATTTCTCAAATGACCCATCTGCATTAGTCTTGATGCGGAAGACCCATTTACCGGTAAGTACCTTCTTCCCTTTTACTTCTGAAGTCGGTATTAAATCCCATGTGCCGCGATTCTTGAGTGCTGCTAGCTCCTTGTCCATGGCTTCGCGCCATTTTTCTCGGTGAGGACTCGTAAGAACTTGTCGAACGGTTTTCGGTTCAGGTATTTTACTGTCGTTGTACTGTACTGTGACTGCGAACCCCAGTATCTGTAATCCTGTTTCTGTAAAGCGCGGACGTTCTTCGTTTGCACCTGCAAAATTTTCTTCTGGTCCTTCTTCCCCCCCAATTTCGTCAGGTGTAACACGGACTGCTTCGTCGAAGACGACGGGCATAGGCTGCTGTTGGCGATCGCGTTCGTAACTGAGATGAACTTCGCGAACATCATCCTGGTCAGCATCTGCAAGAGGAATGAATTCAGGTATGCCGGTCGATGTGACAGGTTCGGGAATGTCAGTTGCGGCAGCTTCGGATGCTTCAAAAACTGCTTCGTCCTGTACATCAGCTTCGGCCTCGTCTGTGGCAAACGCACGCGAGCCTTCAAACAGCCTGGCGGGGTTGGCAGCTGCTGCCTGGTGGGCACGAAATACAAGCAAGGTGAGTCTTTCAGAGAAAAGACAATCACGTGATGGAACGATTTGATGGGAGCGAAGATCCAAAATCTTCCACGCGTGATATTGTTTTTCGATGTCAAGATGTACCCCCCATTTTGCTCGTTCGGAAAATTTTCCGAGTGCTGCGGTTGGAGGACAAAACTGTACAACACACCCGAAAACTCGTAAAAGTTTTGTGCTTCCCACTGTACGTGTCCACTGCAGGTGTGGAGAAGAAAACTCGGGCAGGGATGTTGAAGAAAGAAGATTGTGTAACAGCACGGCGTGGTCCATCGCATACGGCCAAAAATGCGGTGGAAGTGCTGCCGACGTCAGCAGAGAACGCATCTTCTCCTGCAGAGTTCTATTCAACCTTTCTGCTACCCCCATCTGATGGTGTGCATGAGGCAGAGACTGCTTCCGTTTGATGTCGAGTGTCTGAAGGTAGTCTGTGAAAGTGTTGCTCGTGTACTCCCTTGCACCATCGCTCTGAAATTCTTGCAGTTTCACTCCTGACTCTCGTTCAGCGACAGCGAGCCATACGACGAAGACGGAGTGAGCGAGATGGCGCGCAGGTAAGTTAGCTGTCCAGACATATCGGGTAGACGCTTCAATGAAGTTTATCACATACTTCTCGTCTTTAGGTCCTGCTTCAGACAAGTTGAGTATGTCGCTGTAGACTTTCTGCATCAGTTGATAACGGGTTGAGCCGGGCAAATGACTTGGAAACGGATCGTGCGTAAGGTTGGCAACTGAACAAGTGGTGCAAACCGTGGGACGAGACTGCGGCTTCATCTCCGTGCCGTCAGGTAAAATTAGAGTATTCTTATCAAGAACTGCTGCTCGGATTGAATGATTAAGTATTCCCTGTGATGGATGGCCTAACCGCTGATGCCATATGTCTGCTGATGCTTTGTGTCCTGATGATCGCAGGTAGAAGTCGGAGTTAGTATAAAAAGAAGAAATAAGAAAAGGAGATAGCGCTGGTGAGCGGTCAACATCTCCTTCAACGAAACGTGTAAGTGGTAATGGAACAGTCATTGGTGCGGCTACAGTTGTGATTGCAACTTTTGATGCTGCTTCTGTTGATGTCGTGGCAGGTGTTTAGGCGACAGCTACTGTTGGACTCGGCTGCTCTTTCTGTTCTGCTTCTTCAACGACGTCTGGTTCATCAGCTGCAAGACCATTTATTTCTCCCCAAAGTGGTGCTGGAGTTCCTTGGAAGGCTGCACGGGTATTATAAAACGTTCGCCACGCGGTGGCACTTTCATCGGCGGTGTTGAATTCCCAGGTATCCAACGCGGTAAGTACGGCGGCTGCTGTTCGACAAGCTGTTAGTACTGAAGTTGCTCGAAAGTCAATATCCACGTTTTGATCATCTGTTTCTTCGGGATGATCCCAGGGACCAAGTGCAAGGACGCATTCAGAATCACCAGAAGTTCCCTGTGCTGCGAACTGAAGTACCGACACATCATGTTGAGTGGCGGCACGACCAAGATAGGTATTAGTTGTACTGTGCCAGAGCTCTTGATCCATCGTCTCACAATTTCCTTGTGTGCGGATTTTGTGTGCCAGGAGTTGAACCGTGGAAAGAAGGTTGAAGCCAAGACCAGCGACGATAAGAACATTCGTAACATGAAGTGAGTATCCCGTGTCGATAGATTCGAGCATGACACTGCCAACTGATCGTGCCATGATCGTTTGTCCGTTTGCGACTGTGACAGGTATCGGACGACGAAGTGGACGCTGATTAGTGATAAAGCTTGTTTCTGCTGAGCACATGTGCCATCCACAGCAACTGTCGAGATACTAGGTATTTGGACCTGAAATTATACGAGCGAGGTTAGCGTAAACTTGAGGTAAAGGAATGCCTTCAGCACTTGTGGTTTCTTCAAGTCGTGTCTCGAAATCTGTTTCTGAAACAGCAACTGTTGTAACACATCCGAAAACTCCTTTTCCTGTTGTGGCAGATGCAAAGACCGGCGGGCGATGCTGCGATGTTGATGGATTCTGCGGCGGTTTCGGCATCTGCTGCCTATGAGACGTTAACTGCTGCTGTGGCTATTGTGTCTTCGGTAACTGCTGCGATCGTTGATACGGCTACAAAGTCTTGCGATGATTTTGATGACGGCTGCGACAGTTTTGGTAAGTATGTCCTGGTTTCTTACAGAAATGGCAGAACGGATACTTTGGTGGATGTCGATGTTGTGTTTCTGGATTGGAATAAAAACTTAAATGAACTCCCCTTTTCTGGTTGCGTTGTGACTGCAGGTCAAGATCTTGCTGCTCTGCTTGAAGATAAGAAGAAATTTCAGCTTCGGAGAGGTTGGGATTCATGCGCAGGAAGGCGCGCGTCTGTCGCCATTCGGGTCCAAGACCAGCAAGAAGGACAGTGAGATACATCTCACGAGGGAAGTATCCTCCGCTCTTCTCTAGTTGGTCACGTAATATACAGACGCGGTTAACGTAGTCCATGACGTTTTCATTTGTCATCATCTGCACACTTGTCAGCTGCGAAAGTATTTTACTCACTGTTATCGTATCCTTTGCTATGTATACCCCTTTCAGATGATTCCATGCAGTTTCGGCTAGTGTAAAACTTGAGTGAAAAGATCGGACGCCGAGCTGCTCCTTCGGCGACAGGTTCCGCACAAGAACTGTATATGCCCCGAGAGAGGCGTGCAAGAAACTCTGCTGCTCCGGTTGTGTTCCCACGACAGGATACGTAAACTCGCCAGTGAAGAACGGCCATAGCCCAGCGGACTGCGCCAGAAGCTCAAAATCAAAGCTCCAGGAGTAGAAGTCAACACCATTAAAAGGTACGGTTGTCTTGATCTGCGTATTTTTAAGTAAATTTGGAGGCTGAAAAACAATGCCGGGCTGTTGCTGTTGTTGCTGTTGCTGTTGTTGTTGTCGCTGCTGTTGTTGCTGTTGCTGTTGTTGTACTGGCTGTGGTTGCTGATACTGCTGTTGTTGTTGCTGAGCAGGGGAACGACCGAAGATATAGAAAGGATTCTGAAACTGCTGCGACTGCGGCTGCTGTACGAAAGGTGAGAAAGCGAACGAACCAGTACTTGGAGCTGTAGCTCCACGCATGTAACTTGAGCCGTCAAGGCTCATTCTACTGAACGCAGATGAAATCGATTGCGTTGAAACTGGTGGCTGTACTGACGCTTGTTGATGTGCTGATGTCTGTGATTGTTGCTGTTGCGTTGCAGGTGCAGTCGATGGAGCACCTGGAGTATTCACAGAAGGCGGATTCTGCTGTTGCATACCGATATTAGCGTAGGCTGGTGGAAAGTGCCCAGAGGCTGAGAGACCAGCGGCGGTAGTGGAGGCATATGCTCCAGTAGTCCCAGTAACTGATCCAGCAGATGGTGCTGGTGATGAACCAGTCATAGTTGACGGTGGTCTTAATTCCAGATAGCTCTCATACCATGAAATAAATCGTCTGGTGTTGTAGTAGACTAAGTATAAAACTAAAAACACGAACACTTGGCAAATCCTTAAGTGTTGGTCTAGGATCTTTGCTGGAATGGTAGACTAGTAAGACAGCGAAAGTCTTGTAAAATGTAAGGGTCAAGGTTGAATAACCTGAGTACGTGAACTTGTGAGTAATCAAAGTTAATAATGAAAAGACCTAACAAGTATTTATAATTCTACGAAAAGTACCTATTCGCTAATGTACCTGTTCGTCACTATCGCGCTATGCACCCTAGATGATAATGAAGAGGTGCGACTGTTCGCGTGACTGAAACGACTGTCCTATGACGAGCGCTATTTGTTGACGTCATCCCACGGACTTATCTTCTACAGTAGGATTCGACACTAACTACACTTAATCGACTTACAGAAATGCTAAGTATCAATTATATCACAACATTAATAACGCATGTTGAAGTGAACCATGTGTTTAGGGAATTTAACAGCGCAAGGGTAATTTGGAAGCACAGAGAACAATGCAACAATTGGATTGGACAATGTACATAGATGAAAATCCCACAGCTTTAATAGAAATATCAGTTTTTGTAGGGTAGTTTTCATTTTGAACGCTGGTGCGAATCTACAGAGGTTCTGTATGCGGGTTGCTTCTTAGCGGAGTGTCACTTCACCTGGTTTTTGGGAATTCCTGCCTCTAACTGCCATGGTCTGGCTGCTTCCAGTGAGTCTTACTGGAGCAGTAAGTAGGTCATACTGTCTCAGGGCGCTCCGCGATGTAGCGATCTATCATTTTAGTCTGTCTTATCGCTTCTTTAGCTTCATATCTTGGCGCAAATAAGACACGGATGTAGCTCATTTGCGCATCACATACACAGCACAAGCCATTCTTTCCACGTTTTACGATCTACAATTCCGGAGTCTGAAGGCCTATCTTTCCGTGGCTTCTCCCTCCGCAGAGTACGCATCTGATTTCTTCATCTCTGTTGTTTCCACTCGGCATCTTCCAGTAGCAGGGATACCACTCAACTCTACTTCCGCCTTTCCTACAACTCTCACCAGTGATGCTTTAAGTCCGTCGGTTCGTTCCCCTCCTCGTTCGACCTCTCCGCGACGTTTCATCTGTTTCGTGAGCCAATTGTAGATCCCGCATTTCCGTAAGCCTCGTGTAATCCACTCTGTTCGCGAATTCCCTAGCGTCGCCTACTCTCTTGCCAGCATCTCCTTTTCGCCTGCGTTGTGAGCGAATCTCAGATCTCATTCCCCTGCAATTGAACGTGCAAACAAAATGACACAGACCATTTCAATTCAAGCACTTTTTCCTCTAATGGGGGACGCGTCATAGGCCATCTTCCCGTTTCTCCTCCCCTCCTCCCTGCTTGCTAAGCTTCAGAGTGACCCGGCAGCAGGGAGGCCCGAGTGTGTTCCGACTCCTCGCTTCTGTGGCTCTCCCATGCCGCCTCGCGCTGCTGACCGCAAGCTCGCCAACCTCGCTGTGAAGCGGCTGGTGTCCGACATTCTCGACGCGCCGTGCTGTGACACGGATGACTATGTCTCGTACCTCAGCCAGTAAGCCACGCATCGTGAGGCAGTAAGCCACGCATCTGGCAGTAAGGAATGCATGCATGAGGCGGTAAGCCATGCATGCCATGCATCAGAGCCGGTTAGCCATGCATCAGAGCCGGTTAGCCATGCATCAGAGCCGGTTAGCCATGCATCAGAGCCGGTTAGCCATGCATCAGCGCCGGTTAGCCATGCATCAGAGCCGGTTAGCCATGCATCAGAGCCGGTTAGCCATGCATCAGAGCCGGTTAGCCATGCATCAGAGCCGGTTAGCCATGCATCATTGCCGCAAGGTACCTTGCTTCGCTGTGAAGCTGCTGATGTCCGACATTCTGGACGCGCCTGTGACACGGGTGATTATGCTTCCTACCTCAGTTAGCCTGTAAGTCATGCATGCATGTGGTGTTTTTTGAGTTGAGTCAAAAGTCAACACATGAGCCAGTAAGCCATGCATGCATGTGGTGTTTTTTGAGTTGAGTCAAAAGTCAACACCATGAGCCAGTAAGCCATGCATGCATGAGGCGGGTGATGAGTCGACTCAAAGGTCTAGCTCGCCAGCCTGGCCGTGGAGCAGCTGGTGTCGGACGTTCTCGACGCGCCCTGCTGTGACACGGATGACTGCGTCTCGTACCTCACCCTGTAAGGCATGCATGCATCATGATCTCAAGCTCGCCAGCGTTGCTGGGCGTTCGTGATCGAATACCTCAGCCTGACATCATGATCTCAAGCTCGCCAGCGTTGCTGGGCGTTCGTGATCGAATACCTCAGCCTGACATCATGATCTCAAGCTCGCCAGCTTTGTCGTGAATCATGAAGCGGTTGGTGTCAGACTTTCTGGTCGCTCCCTGCTTGCTGTGACACAGATGGCTGTGTCTCGTTCCCCAGCCAGTAAGCCATGCATCACGAACCAGTAACCCAAGCAACCCGGTAACACGAACAAAGTTTCCACTTTGTTTACTGTTTTTGTTTTGCTTTTTGACATGACTTGCTTCAACTTCTGTTCCTCATCTCATGCAACTCACTTGCTCTACTCACCTCTCTCCTCCCTGCACTGAACCACAACCTGTCCACCAGCCAGTCTGCCCGTCCGTTCCTCCTGCCAGCAGACGAAAGCCCTCTCATCCTTCACCGCTACCATCGGCTCACATAAGTCATTCACCTACCTCTCTGTCAATCTCTCTTCCCTCCCTCTCTCCCCCCCCTCTCCCACCATCCTCTTTCAACGCCACAGCCTGTCCACCAGCCAGTCCGTTCCTCCTGCCAGCAGCCGGAAGCGCAAGACAACTGTAGACTCCCAGGGACTCTCTCCCGCTGTGAGCATTCGACACCCCCCTGCTATCGCCTCCTGCCTGCCTGATTGTATGACTTGGTACTTTCTTGGCTCTTCGCTTCCATCCGTCTCTGCTGTCTGTGTGCTTTCTGTCGTCCACGTTCCCTCATCGCTCCCCTTTCACCATGCAGCAGTAGGTACTTTCTTTGGGGAGAATATTCTCTTTCTTGTCTCTCTATACCGTGTTTCGTTTCAACATTGCTCCACACATTGTTGCCAGCCTGGCTGCGGAACATTTCTGTCCGTCCTACCATGATGTGTGCATCCTACCATGATGTGTGCATCCTACCATGATGTGTGCATCCTACCATGATGTGTGCATCCTACCATGATGTGTGCATCCTACCATGATGTGTGCATCCTACCATGATGTGTGCATCCTACCATGATGTGTGCATTCTACCATGATGTGTGCATCCTACCATGATGTGTGCATCCTACCATGATGTGTGCATCCTACCATGATGTGTGCATCCTACCATGATGTGTGCATCCTACCATGATGTGTGCATCCTACCATGATGTGTGCATCCTACCATGATGTGTGCATCCTACCATGATGTGTGCATCCTACCATGATGTGTGCATCCTACCATGATGTGTGCATCCTACCATGATGTGTGCATCCTACCATGATGTGTGCATCCTACCATGATGTGTGCATCCTACCATGATGTGTGCATCCTGTCACGCTACGCAGTACCAGTGCATGCCAGAATTGGTTTCTAGAGACGTCTTATGCATGAGTGGCTGCTTCCGTTTGGTCCTGTGCGCCCATGGTGCAAGCAGAAGCAGCGTGGCGCCGGGCACAGCATGGACGGTCTGCTGCACCAAGTGCAGCGGCTCAAGATGACCGAGCAAGCTCTGGCGTCCCCTTTACAGGCATCCCCTTTACAGGCGTCTCTGTTACAGGGCGCTTCATTACAGTCATCTCCCTCAGACTCCAGTTTTGCGAACCCGGGCCAAGCAACACATGATGCAGAAGGGTCTGTTACACGGTACGATAACTTGTAATAGTAGCAGGATGCTGACATGTGTTGTTACCAAGCTCGATGTGTCTGTATTCATCCTTGCGTTTTCCAAGCTCTGGGCTTCATTTGTTCGTCTGCTGCCTCCTCCGCAGTGCCGTTTTCAAAATGTTCCGTGGGTGGGTGGATCCTTTTTTCCATTCTTGTTACCTGCTGCTTGTTTCCTTTCCTTTTTCTTCAAGATGTCTTGAGTCGTGCCCCCGTTGCCTGTGTTCCCTCCTCTATCCACGCCAGGCTGGATTCCTCACCACCACCCACTGCGGCAGCCTTTGAGTCGACTCAAAAGCGTGCTCCCTTTGCCTGTGTTCCCTCCTCTATCCACGCCAGGCTGGATTCCTCACCACCACCCACTGCGGCAGCCTTTGAGTCGACTCAAAAGCGTGCTCCCTTTGCCTGTGTTCCCTCCTCTATCCACGCCAGGCTGGATTCCTCACCCCCCACTGCCTCACATAGCCAAGACCCTTCCACGGCCCCGCAGCAGCAGGAGCATTCCCTAGGACCCACCGCAGCAGCTGTAGCACTGGCCGGAAGAGCCTCTGTAACACCTAACGTAGGATCAGCTGTAGCATCAGCTGTAGAATCAACAGTAGGCTCAACAGTAGGATTAGCAGGAGCAACACGCCTCACCCCACCACCGCCGTCCAGTGCTCGTAGATCCCTAGACCTGAGCGGGATGAGCCTCAACCCCCACGTGGCAACTCTTGAATCGACTCAAAAGCCACAATCCACCGCCCCACCGCCGCCGCCTGGTGCTCGTAGATCCCTAGACCTGGGCGGGATGAGCCTCAACCCTCATGCGGTAGAGTTCGTACCCGTCTCAGGCACACCTCCCCTCCCCAACGCCCTTAACACCACATCAGCAGCAGCAGCAGCAGCAGCAGCAGCAGGTGCAGGGTACGCTGCCTTGCTGCAGGGCGGTGCAGCAGGGTATGCGGGCGCGGAGGAGGCGTTCGAGGAGTGCGAGGAGGACCTGTGCCGGTCGCAGTCGCACAACAGCAATGCGTCGGACGACGAGTACCGGCGCTTCTGGCGGAACAAGCTGCCCGACGAGCTGCTCAGCTTCGATGAGTCGCCCAAGGAGGGACGGGAGGGGAGGGAGGGGAGGGATGGGAGGGATGGGAGGGATGGGAGGGATGAGAGGGATGAGAGGGATGAGTTTTTGCACAGCGGCATGGGAATGGAGATGGATATCGGTGGGGGTGGGGGTGGAGGAGGAGGAGGAGAAAGGCGAGGGGACATGCATCGCAGTGCCATCAGCATGCCTTCCTTGGACAGCACTCACATGCCTCGCAATGCTGCTGCTCCTCCCCCTGGGGGCCCAGATGGCGGTTTTGACCGGCAGGGTTATGGGTACTCGTTCCGGCAGGGCGTAGGTCCCCCTGCGGCCCAGTCTATGGGGAATATTCTCGAGGAGATTAAGTCAGACTCGGCTCTAGACCACCTAGTAGGCGTAGGAGGCACGTCTCATAGTCTCACAGGACCCGGTCAGTACCTCCCCCAGAGGTCACCTGGCAACCCTCTCATGGGGTCACCCATGGCACGGCCCCGCTCCTCCTATGACCCTTCTTTTGATCAGCCTCGCGGCCCCTCCAATCCGCACCTGCTGCCTCGCAACGCCCTCAGTCCTGCCTGGAGACCTTCCCCTGGCCCACCTGGGTTTTCACCTGGGCCTCCACCTGGAGGACCACCTGGCTCTGTTGGTCCCGTCCCTTCCAGCCCTGTGATTGGCCACGGAGTGCCCCCTTCACCTATGGGAACACCCAGCAGGTACCCCCCTTATGGTGCGGTCAACCCTAACCTTAACCACATGAGTCCGCAGCAGAGCCCTGCCAGGGGCCCTCCTCCCTACGCCTCGCCCGGCGGCCCTCTATCCCGATTTGGTGGAAGTGGTAACCCTGTTACATCCATGTCTATGCCTGGTGCCGCCTCCCCCCCTCCCCCCCTCCATCACTCATTCAACAGCCCTGCTAGGGGCTACCCTCCCACAAATCTAGACCAGAGGGTCATGCACCCCCCACCGTTTGAGCTCCCAGGGCCAGCTGGGGCCGGGAACATGGGGGGAAGGGGAGGACCAGGTGGAGGAGATAGCATGTGGGGAGGCAAGGGCGGAGTGGGCGGGGGAATGAGAGAGCGAGCAATGTCGATGCCAGTGGGGTGGGGGCCAGACGAAGGGGTTGGTGGGGACGATCCTGTGCACATACTCGCTACTGAGTTCCCCATGTTCAGTATAAGCACCTTGGCTGAGATCTTCTTTTCTAATGGTGCGGACCTTCCTCGGACCATGGAGATTCTGACCCAGCTGCAGGTGCGTTGTGCTGTTAGGGCCCATGTTTGAATGAATTTATGCCTCAGTGACTGATTCCATGCCCCTTCCACCCAACCATTCATCAATCTTCCTCTCACCCATCCCGTTTCACCCCTTGCCCCGGTTATCCCCTCTCCCTTGTTCTCCCCTCCGCACTCCAGGTCGAAATGACCCTCCCGTCACCAACCCATCGCACTGTTAATGTCTCAACAGATGCCACCGTATCTATCTTTCCCCCCTTCCCCTGCACTCTCTCCCCCCCCCACCCCTCTATTTTTTCTCCCCTCCACAGGTCCAGGACGAAATGACCCTCCTGTCGCCAACCCACCACCGCCGCATAATGTACTTGATGTCTTGTTACAAAAAGGGGCGAAGGGGTGGGTGGGGACGAAGGGGTGGGTGGGGACGCATCCCAACCCTTGTTCTTTCCATCTCCACCCTTCTGCATCCCTTTCTCTTACACAGCTCCAGGACGAAATGACCCTCCCATCGCCAAACCACCGCCGCCCCCTTCCACCCCCCTCCGCGCACCCCCCTCCCCTCGACTCCCACGACTTCCCCTCACTCTCCCCCCTCGACCCCCTCCCCTCCTCCTCCCCCATGCTCCGCCCACGCCCCTCCCCCCAAGCCCCTGACATGCGGCCTATGCAAGGCTCTGCTCCTGATTTCGCTGGGGTGCTCAGGAAGCCTTTGCCCCCCTCGGCCGCCTCTCAGAATGCCTGGGGGGGTTTGCAGGCCGAGAGGAGTGGGGGAGGGGAGGGGGGCATGGGAGGTGCAGGGCGGAGAGGGGGAGGGGGGGAGGAGGGGGAGGGGGAGGGGGAGGGGGAGGGGGAGGGGGGTATGAGCCTGCAGGAAGAGGAGGGGCTCAGCCGTGGCTGGAAACTGGCAATGCTGTTGGTGAGCTGCATTTCGTTGCTCTCTTAGATGGGTGGCATGTCGATTTGATGTTCGAGTGTTACTTGGGTACCTCGAAACACTCACACTCGTCAGTGATCCCTCCTGTTGTGGGTGATTTTTTAGAATTATCAAGCCCCTTACACACTCGTGTGTGATCTGCTGTTAACCCCCGTTCCTCCCATGCCATTCAGCCAACCTGTATGGGGACATGAGGGAGGAGGCACGGGACCATGCCAGAATACGAAACGCGTGCTTTGAGCAGGTCAGTGCTTTGAGCAGGTCAGTGCTTTGAGCAGGTCAGTGCTACTCTATGCCCTTTTCTGTATGCCGTTTCCGCTGCTACATTAGAGTGTGCCATTACTGCCAGATGCTCTACTGGCCTAAGCAGCTCTGTTGCCGTCCAGGCAGCGCAAGTGTATCTGGAGATGGGTGGGCAACAAACAAGGCTCTAGCAATTGCGGCGCTGATGCATGTCAACAAAGCATGTTTGGCAGGCAGCCAGCAAGACAACACCCAAGCCATGTCGCATGCATTCTGGAAAAAATCCTGACACTTTCTTTTTTTTTAGCCCCTTCTTCGTCTTTCTGCGTTCCTGCAGGCCACCCAGGCGTACCTGGCGGGCAACAAGGCAGCAGCCAAGGAGCTGAGTGCGCGCGGTCAGTGGCACAACGAGCAGATGAAGGCCGCGCATGCCAAGGCCAGCGACGCCATCTTCCGCACCCGGTATGGCTGCTGCTGCTGCTGCTGCTGCTGCACCCGGTATGACTTCTGTTTTTGCTGAATTTTGTGTCCATCCCTCTGTCTTCCTCCCCTCTCAAGCTTTCCACATACTAATAAAGAGAAGGGTATGCAAGAGGATAGCTAGAGACGGCCGTCTTCTTCCCCCCCACCTCGAAATCGACCCCACCAGCTCTGCAGCTGGGGGACATCCGAGGGGATGAGAGGGTGTTGGTGGTTGATGCATGCCATTTCCCTTTCTCACTCGTCCTTAACTCACCCACTCACTCCCTTTCTCACTCGTCCTTCACTCACCCACTCACTCCCTTTCTCACTCGTCCTTCACTCACCCACTCACTCCCTTTCTCACTCGTCCTTCACTCACCCACTCACTCCCTTTCTCACTCGTCCTTAACTCACCCACTCACTCCCTTTCTCACTCGTCGTTAACTCACCCACTCACTCCCTTTCTCACTCGTCCTTAACTGACCCACTCACTCCCTTTCTCACTCGTCGTTAACTCACCCACTCACTCCCTTTCTCACTCGTCCTTAACTCACCCACTCACTCCCTTTCTCACTCGTCCTTTACTCACCCACTCACTCCCTTTCTCACTCTCCCCCTACCCTCCCCCCCCCCCCCCGTCCCCCTCCCGTCCCCCCCCCCCTCCCCTTCCCCCCGCTTCTACCCCTAGCAATGCGGCTTCGGGCTATCTAAGCGGAGGGCCAGGGGACGGGGGAGAGGCGCGGGTGTTGGACCTGCATGGGTTGCATGTGGGGGAGGCGATACCCATGCTTAAGAGGGAGATTGCTGCCATGAGAAATGCTGCCCGCTCCACCCAGCAGAGGCAGCAGGTGAGCAGGAGAGGTTGTAAGGGAGGGAGGGGGTTATAGTATATAGGCATTGGACCTAGTTTTGGGTGGTGGACCTGCATGGGTGGCATGTGGGGGAGGCGATACCCATGCTAAATAGCCGCCATGAGAAAAGCTGCCCGCTCCGCCCGAGAGGCAGAAGGTGAGAGGGGGAGGGGTTAGCATTAGAGGGAGCGGGAGAGGTGGTTTGTGGATAGAGGTGCAGGACCGGACCTGATATGGCTGCTGAACGCTGCATGTGTGGGTGGGTTGCATGTGGGGGAGGGTTATTTATTCTGTTGAGGAAGATTCCTGTCATGCGCAATGCTGGTCACTCCCCCATCCTCTATCTCTCTCTCTCCGCGCGTCAAGTATCCCCCTCCACCCCCATCCTCTGTTCTCGGACTCAACTCGCTGGCAGGTGTATGTGTGTGTGGGAACTGATAGGTTTTTTAGTAGAATTCTCAAAAACTTATCACAGCCTGGCAGGTGTATGTGTGTGTGGGAACGGGCCACCATGCTTTGATGAAACATGCCCCTTGCCCCCTCGCTTTTGTTTTTATCCACAGGTGTATGTGTGTGTGGGAACGGGCCACCACACCAAGGGGCGCGCACCCCTGCGCCTGCCACTGGCAGTGGAGCGGTATCTGGTGGAGGAGGAGCGGCTGCAGTTCATGGAGACACAACCAGGCATGCTAAGGGTGCTGGTGTAGCTTGCTGTGTGTGCTGGTGCGGTAACACCTCTGGCTACATGTGTTAAAGCATGCAGTAGTGTGTAACAGAGTGCAGCAGAGTGTGGCAGTGGAGCGGTATCTGGTGGAGGAGGGGCGGCCGCAGTTCATGGAGACACAGACGGGCATGCTGCAGGTGCTGGTGCAGCTTGCTGTGTGTGCTGGTGCGGTAATGTGCAGCAGTGTGTAACAGAGTCGCTCTTACATGATGGTATCTTCTGGACCAGGATGGGAGTTCTGGTGCAGCAGTAGCTGTGCAGTGCACGAGCTACAGCCATGCAGTAGAGTGTGCACGTGTGCCATGATGGCGCTGCCGCCGGTTATGTTTCCATCAACGGCTGACAGCACCCCATCAGCAGCAGACGGCATCTAAGGCTGACAACGTCAATGGCTGACAGCATCAACGGCTGACACCAATGGCTGACAGCATCAACGGCTGACTCCAATGGCTGACAGCATCAACGGCTGACACCAATGGCTGGCAGCATCAACGGCTGACACCAATGGCTGGCAGCATCAACGGCTGACATCAATGGCTGTCAGCATCAACGGCTGACATCAATGGCTGTTAGCATCAACGGCTGGCATCAACGGCTGACACCATCGACAGCTGATCCTTCGATCCCGCTCTTGCTTGTCACCTTGTTTCAAAAGGCATGCCTTTTGAGCGGGCAGTTACACGCTGCCAAGTCGAAATTGGGTGCTGTATGTTCTCTGTAGTTTGTTAGTGCATTGTTTTTCTTTTGATGTGGCTTTATGTACATTGCTCTGATGGTACGCTAGGAGGGCCAGAGTTCCTGCCATGCCAATATGTGAAGTGTGTAATGTTGCAGTTTAGTGTAGCCTCGTAATTTTGATTCCGATACTTAATTTGAAGATGTATACAAACCTGTTACGTAACACTTTCTATGGGAATAATCTTCGTACAGCTCCCGTCAAGCGGCCCCTGACTTGCACCTGCAATCGCGACATCACAAACGAAGCAGCGTACATGACCAAATTCGCCCACACAACCCAGTCCAGTAACTTGGCACCTGCCGTGAATCGCAAGTTTCGCCATCCGCGGAGCGGATTCCAGTTAGCATCCAGCTCCCTAAATTCCCCGATTTCTCCGCGGCTCCCTCCGAACAGCTCCAGATTCTCTTCCTTTCCTGAAGGCCGCTCTGGAATCTGGACTCAATTCCAGAATAGCTCGCACGATGTCCGCTCATTCCTGCTCTCTCCTCCGCCTCCGCCCCAATTCCACCGCCGCACGCGCTGCCATCTCCGCTCCGCGATGCGCGCGCTTCCCTTCCCCCCTACCGCTGCTCTCCCCCGCCAAGCCTCCCAGCGCCATCTGTGGGTCGACTAGCCGCTTTAGAAGGAGCGCCGCCAGCGCGGGGATTGCGCGGAGCGCGGAAATTACGCGGAATTCGGGAATTCCGAGACGCTCGAGCCACATTAGCGGGAGGGACGGCGGCTTGAGGGGAATCGGTGTGGGGTCTGCTCCTTGGACCAATAGCAGCAGCAGCAGTAGTAATAGTTTCCGCATTTTCGTTCTTCCGCGCGTTTCCCCGCCGCCCCGTCGCAATGCGCAACGGGAGCTTGTTCCCCCGGTGGTTTGCCGGCCTAACGCGTCGCTCTCTAGCGGAACCGGGGAGCGGGCGGAGCCCATAGCGGGCGGAGAAGTGGTGGGGGGGAAGTACCGCATCGTGCGCCTGCTGGGGGAGGGGTCGAGCGGAAGGCTGTATGAGGCGGAAGAGGTGGGGGAAGGGGGGCCGGCGGAAGGGGAGGTGGGGGAAGGGGGAGGCGGGGAGCGGGTGGCGGTGAAATGCATTTCGTTGCGGTCCGCGACGAGATGGAAGGTGCGTTGTGGGAGAATGGACGGTTGTGATCATGGAGGTGGCTTGTGAATCGTAACACCCCGCTGATGTTACACGGGTCGCGAGTGAAGGGACGGCTGTGATGGCACGATGGCAAGCGATGGGCCTTTGGATGGCCCGTAGGGGTCCCCTTGAAGGGCTACACCAGTTTACCACACCACGCCCTGTCCTGTGGGGGATGTGGATGCGCTGCGCTGACCCACCAAATCTACACGCCCGCCCGTTTACGCAGTTGGTCAGCCAACTGGGTCTGGTCTCTCCCTGCGGTGGGTGGTGGGTTGCATCTTTCGCTTGCAGGGGTTTTGAGGCGGCCTGAATAAGGCACTGGCAGTTGATAGGTTGCTATTCTCGTCTGCAGCATCCAGCGAAAGATACTTGTCGTGTGGTTGCCTTCTCAACCACGCCCAGCCCCATTCAACCACGCCAAGCCCCATTCAGCCACACGCCAAGCCCCATTCAGCCACACGCCAAGCCCCATTCAACCACACGCCAAGCCCCATTCAACCACACGCCAAGCCCCATTCAACCACACGCCAAGCCCCATTCAACCACACGCCAAGCCCCATTCAACCACACGCCAAGCCCCATCCAACCACACGCCAAGCCCCATTCAGCCACACGCCAAGCCCCATTCAGCCACACGCCAAGCCCCATTCAACCACACGCCAAGCCCCATTCAACCACACGCCAAGCCCCATTCAACCACACGCCAAGCCCCATTCAACCACACGCCAAGCCCCATTCAACCACACGCCAAGCCCCATCCAACCACACGCCAAGCCCCATTCAACCACACGCCAAGCCCCATTCAACCACACGCCAAGCCCCATTCAACCACACGCCAAGCCCCATTCAACCACACGCCAAGCCCCATCCAACCACACGCCAAGCCCCATTCAACCACACGCCAAGCCCCATTCAACCCACGCCAAGCCCCATTCGCGAATGTTTCCACTTTCCCCCTCCAGCCCTTGTGTCTCTTCCCCCTCCTACTTGCCCTTGTGCCTCAAATTGTTTCCTGGTTGAAGGGACGGCTCGAACCCTAAGCGGGGTGTGGCATTCTGCTTCCAACCCGGGTTCCAGCTCTCATTTTATTACCACCTATAGCTCCTTTCCCCCTCTCAGTATTTCGACCTATTTGAGAGGGAGGCTCGGGTCCTAGTTCAATGGCGTGGTTGTCTGCTTCCAACCCGTGCTCCCCCTCTCAAGACTTGGCTTTTTATTTCCACCTATTGCTCGTTTCACCCTTTCAGGATTTGGACCTTTTTGAGAGGTTGGCTCCGGTCCTTATTGAACCCTGAAAATAGTGCTTTTTTCTTCCAACCCTTGTTCTCCCTCTCAAGTCTTGGTTTTTGTTACCACCTTTTGCCCGTTTCACCCTTTCAGTATTTGGACCTATTTGAGAGGGTGGCTCGGGTCCTTACTGAGCCCTGACGATGGTGGTTTTTGCTTCCAACCCGTGTTTCCCCTCTCAAATCTTGGTTTTTGTTTTCTCCTTTTGCCCGTTTCACCCTTTCAGTATTTGGACCTATTTGAGAGGGAGGCTCGGGTCCTTCGCAGCCTCAACCATCCTGGCATTCCGCAATACATAGACTATTTCGAGGTGAATGATGTTTTTCTTTCCAGTAACTTGAGCGTTTAGCCACCCGTGCTTCCTGCTTTCATTAGGGCGTGTCCCACTCGCTCGTTTACAACTCAGTTTGTACAGTTTATTCAGGTGCGGAGTGTTCCAAAGGAGTGAAACGAACAGTAAATGAACGAGTTGGACACGCCCTTATTGTCACAATTTGGAAAACACTGCTACAGACCGGGGCCAGTCGCTGGCACTCTGGTCACTCCGTGCTCTCCCTTCTCCATACCCCCTGCTGTCCTAAAACTCCCCATCTCGCTATTGTCACAAATCCATTGTCACAATCAGGAGGACACCGCTACAGACAAAGCGTTCTATCTGGTGCAGCGGCTAGCGCAGGGGCAGTCATTGGCAGCTTTAGTGGCTGGGGGGTGGCGAGGCAACGAGGAGGAGGTTGTGCGGATTGGCGTTAAGGTGAGGTAGTTGATAGAAGTTGGTTTCGGAATTGACTCAGTGAGCGATTGGCGCAGGGCCAGTGAGCGATTTAGTGAGCAGTTGGCGCAGGGCCAGTGAGCGATTTAGTGAGCAGATGGCGCAGGGCCAGTCCCGGGCAGCCCTGGTGGCAGGGGGGTGGAGTGGCAGAGAGGGGGAGGTCATACGGATTGGTGTTGAGGTGAGCTTACAGCTGCTTCTTCAGCTGACTCGAACGCTGATTGGCGCATGGCCATTCCCTGGCAGCCCTGGTGGCGGGTTGGGGGGGAAGGGGAGGCGCAGAGAAGGAGATGGTGCGGATTGGTGTTAGAGGTCAGCGAGTAGATGAGGGAAGTGCGTTGTGTTGTGATCCACGGTGCTCGTTTAACCACGCGGTACGCCTGATCGAACAGCCAGGCGCTGGTAGGTAGCCGTGGTGGCAGCGAGGAGCCGTGGTGGAAAGAGGATTTGCTTGTCAGGTCTGGCCATCCAACAAAGAGCCGGAGGTTGTGAGGATTGAGAGCAGGAGGTTGTGAGGATTTGCATTCTAGGCGTTCAGGAGTGCAATGCGCTGTGATCCCATGCTTGCTCGTGTGACCAGGCCTGCACTGGCGCCATCATGATTCATGACTCTTTATTGTGTTGCTCTCTACTGTCGCATCCACATCTATGCCTTTCCTTACCAGCACTCTTTTGTGTTCACATGCGGTTCGACATGCACCATGCACCATGCGACATGCGACATGTGTCATCCACCATCCACCGTCTCCCATGCACCATGCACCACCCACAATACACCATGCACCATGCACCATGCATCATGCCCCATACCCCATGCCCCATACCCCATGCATCAGGTCCTGGAAGTCTTATCTTATTTGGAGTCGGTTCGGCCACCAGTGGTGCACAGAGACATCAAGGTATGTGGTTCGAGCCGTACGCTTTGATTGATTGACGTCAAACTCCTTAACGCCACGCCACGGCGTGATTCACTGCATTCACTTCACCAGAATGAGACATCCATTCGATTATCGATTTTCCTTCCTCATCCCTCGCCCTCCACTCTTCCCCCTTTCTTCTGTCATTCAGCTTGAGAATCATAATCCCTTTCTTTCTCAAACTCTTCGTTAAACCCCTTTGTTCTTCTCTGCTTCAGCTTAAGAATTATAAACCCTTTTTTTTTCATTTTGCAGCCCGACAACATCATTCTGGACCAATCACGGGGCACGGTTCAGGTGGTTGACTTCGGGGCGGTGCAGGAGGCAGCTGCATCCGCACGGAGCGATGCTCCTCTCGGCAGCACAGTTGTTGGTACGGTGCGTTGAGTCGGTGTGTTGGGGTGGCGGGATGCCTCATATGGTTATGGTGTGCTGGGCTATGTTGGAAAAAACGCGTTTCGCGTTTAGTACGCTAGCGTATATACGCTAGCGTATATACGCAAAACGCTATGGGTAAGGGGGTCTGGTACGCAGGAAAAACGGTGGCCCGGGCAGCAAAAAAAACTTTCCCGGGCAGGTGGAAATTTGGGGTAAGAGGCGGGAATGGGGGGGTTTACAAAGCACCCCAAATCCCCATCCCCATTTTATTGATAGGCAAATTTCGTACATCAGAATACCCGCATATTACTACTACCCTCCCCAATACTCTAACCTCCTATGCACCCCCCTTCCACAACACCTTCCCCTGCAGCCCCCTTCCACTACTCCCCCCCCCCTCTTGCAGTCCCCTCCACTACTCCACCCCATTCCCCACCTCCTCCTCCCGCAGGTCAGTCAGCTCTACTCGTACTCATCGGCAAGCACAGCATCCTCCCCCTCCTCTTCGTCCCCCTCCTCCTGCTCGATGTACCCCTCCGGAATGGGGGGCTCCTCAATATTCCCGCTGACCACCCCCTGCCCCTCCGCGACCGAGTGCCAGTTGTGCACAACTTTCCAGTTGTGCGCAACGTACACGAGATCGTTGAGCTTCTCCGACCCCAAGCGGTTGCGCTTGGCCGTGTGGACCGACTCCCACACGGCCCAGTTGCGCTCGCATGCTGCCGCCGACACGGGCTGTGTGAGGACGCGGCACGCAAGCGTGGCGAGCTCGGGAAAGTCCGTGCCGTGCCAGTTCCACCACTGCACGACACTCTGCCTCCCCTCCTTCACAGCCTCGCGGTCCGCAATGGCAGCAGGGAGGCCGAAGCTCCCTTGCAGGTTCAGGAAGGCCGTTAAGCCTTCCTGAAGCACAAGGGAGGCACGGCGCTCCTCGCCATCCCTGCGGGTGATGGTGAGGTGGTCGTAGTGGCGGGAGATGTACGACTTGAAGACGCGGGTGCACTCGATGTCGGTGCGGAAAATGCCCTCCTCTTGGTTGGCCGGATTTAGGATCCGGCCAACCACGTGCATGGGGCAGGCGAGCCCCCCATCCCATCGATTTTTCACAATTTTATTCACCTCCGCCACCTCTCCCCTTGTGAGCCTCCCCTCCGCATGCTCGTCGAGGAAATCCGAGACGTCCTCGGTGAGCTGGAGCATGGTGTCGTACATGCGGCCCATCATGCCCTTTGCCGTGGCATCGGTGGCTCGCATGACGATGAAGGGTTTCTCCAGCAGCTTGATGAAAAACTCCGCCAGCTGCCACCACAAGGCGTCCATCACTTGTGCCTTGAACATCTCACCACCCACCTTCCTCCCCCCCACCGCCCACCCTCTCCACTCCTCGCTCAGGACCATCTGAACAAGGCTGAGCCGAACGTCGCACAGTCGGGACACAGCGATGAATTGTGTCCCGAACCGCGTGCCCGCTGGCTTGAGGACCTGCCGCCCCTTGCCGCCGTTGACGTGTTTGCTCCTCAGGTAGCCGCGGGTGAAGTGGTGGGCGCGGACGAAGTTGATCATGTCAGACGCCGTGTCCACCACGTCCTTCGCCCACGTCATCTTCCCGACATCTTCCATGAGAAGGTCGAGAACGTGGGTGGCGCAGGGGACGGTCTCGATGTGCGGGAATTCCGCCACGAGCTCCCGGCATGCCACGGCATAGTTTGAGCCGCCATCCATGCAAAGGGCCACGACGTTGTCGGGCCCGACCCTCCTCAGGATCGGGCGGAGGAGGCTCGCGATGTAGCCGCCCGTCTTCGACTCCATTCTCGTATCAATCGACTCGGTGAAAACGGCTCCCGAGTCGTTGATGAGAAGAATGTTCGCTTGGGGGCGTCCGCAGCCGTCGGTCATCATGTCCGACGCGATGGTGACCCCGTCGCGGCGCCAGCTCGCGGCAATCGGCGCCAAGGCCGCCGCGATGCGCTTGCGGCACTTCTGCAAGCCCGCCCCTCCGATGTAACGGCGCTTCGGAGGAACGTACGTCGCGCCCGCGCGAGCGATGCAGCTAACGGCGTTCCTCCAAAGAGGGTGGTCTGCGTGATGCTCGGGAAGTCGAAGGCCGGCGAAGAGCAGGCAAAGCGCTTCGTCTGCCGCCTCCTTCGCGCATGTCCCTTCGTCGCCGAAGAAGTCGGTGATGCGGGACCTCTTCCCTTCGCCATCGCGAGCAGCGCCGCGCACCGCACCGAGTGCGGCTGCCTCCGCCGCGCGCTTTCGTTCGCGCGCCTGCAGCTTCGAATTGTACGAAGTCTTCACGGCGTCACGGGCAGACTTGGGAGCCGAGGGGCAGAGCCGCACTTCGCGACGTCTCATGCCGGACCAGCTGGTGATGTGTTGAGCGCAGCGGTACATGCCGCCGACGAACTTGAACTCACAATACTTGCAGATCTTCGTCGCGCTATCGCTTGAGTCGTCGATTGGGACGTTGAAGTGGCGGAACACGACATGCGTGCTGTCGGGGCAAAAGAGTGTGCTGCTAGTAGAAGCCTCCGCGGAAACAGGGGCTGCCGCAGCTGAAGGGGAAGACGGAGTGGGTCTAGGCGTGGAGGCCATGCTGGAGACGGAAGGGGAAGCTAGAGAAGAGAATGAGTTCGAAATGCTAGAATGGCTGCTCTTTATGCTTGGAAAGCGTACTCTGTTAGGGGAAAAGGGAGTTGGACATTGGGTTGGGAGAGGTGTGGGAATGACGGGGTGGAGTGGGGTGGTTAGCGGTGTGATAGGGGGTTTGGTGCGCCTCGGCTTTGAAATTCGAAATTTGATGTTGATTTCGCGATGTGCGAAACCCCCGAATAGTTTCGCCCCGTCGCGAACTGTCGCGGAAATTTTGGTTTTTCTTTGCGGTCAGCCCGTGCGTATTTTGGCGAATCTACACCCAAAACGCAGCGTACGAATTTTGCTCGCGTATAAACGCAAAACGCAAACTGAAATTTGCGTTTTTTCCAACATAGGTGCTGGGTTGTAATGCACTCAGGGCTGACTTTGGATGGTGCAGGACACTGCTGTTTCTGCACGGGGTGCCGCTCTTCTGGGCAGCACATATGTCGGCACAGTGCATTGAGACTATATTGAGTAGAGAACGTAGTGAGTTGTGACTGTAGTTGGTTGAGATTGTTATGAGGCAGCTGCATTTGCATGCTGTGGGTGTTTTTTTGAGAAAATTAAAAAATCTCTAAGCGAGGTGGCCTTTTTTTCCTCTCTTGAGATCAACTCGCGTTGATCATCCAACGTCCTTCCTCCATTCGTCCCTTGAATGTGAGTTTTTGTTTCCTCTTGAGTTTTTGTTTCCTCTTGAGTTTTTGCTTCCTCACCAACACCCCCTCCCCACCAAACCTCCCCCCCCCCCCAGTACGGCTACATGGCCCCAGCCGGAGCAGTTTCAGAACCGGGCAACCTCACAGTCAGTCGAACCTCTACTCTCCTTGGGGTCACTCTGCTGTTCCTCCCAAACCCTTTCCCCCTCTCCCCTCCCATCCCCTCTCCATCCCCGTCCCATCCCCCCCCACAACCCCCCCCCACCCATCCCCCTACCCTCCCCCCCCCATCCCCCTCCCATCCCCTACATGCGCCACTTCCCCCTGTGTCAACCGACCCAGTACGGCTACATGGCGCCAGAGCAGTTTCAGAACCGGGCGACCTCACAGTCGGACCTCTACTCCCTGGGTGCCACTCTGCTCTTCCTGCTATCGGGCCGACCTCCTTCTGCGTTTCCCCAGGTATCTGACTTTCTCTCTTCCCCTCTCCCCTTCTCTCCCCTTCTCTCCCCTTCTCTCCCCTTCTCTTCCCTTCTCTCCCCTTCTCTTCCCCCCTCTCTCCTCCTCTCCCACCTCTCCCCAACTCTCCCCTCCTCTCCCCTCCTCTCCCCTCGTTTCCCCTCCTCTCTACTCCTCTCTGCTCCGCTGCTTGTCTCCTCTCTCGGCCCCTCCATCTCACCCCGCCTAGCCTCCTCTCTCGGCCCCTCCATCTCACCCTACTTCTGAACCCATCATTAGCTCGCTGCGTGCCCATTCCTTTGCGTTTCCTCTGCGTTTCCTCTGTGTTTCCTCTGTGTTTCCTCTGCGTTTCCTCTGTGTTTCCTCTGTGTTTCCTCTGTGTTTCCTCTGCGTTTCCTCTGTGTTTCCTCTGTACGTCCGATCTTCCTATCTCCCCTCTCTCTTCCCCCAGAATCGCCTCAAGATTGACTTCCAGTCGTCTCTCGGCCCCTCCGTATCCCCCCGCCTAGCCACTGTGCTGGACTGCCTGCTCATGCCCGCACCAGAGGACAGATTTAAGGTGAGTCATGAGTTGACTTAAAGGGGGACATCTTATTCGTGCCTGTGTAGACTGCTAGAATGTTGTTTGTATAACGCATATGCCGGACTGTCTGCTCATGCCTGCACCAGAGGGCTGGTTCCAGATGAGGAGAGGAGAGGACGAAGGTGAGTTTTGGGATTGCTCAAAGGGTCTTGAACCTTAGGTTTGCCTCACTTTGAGCTGCCTTTAACCATGGTGCTGGACTGTCTGCTCATGCTGGCTCCAGAGGACACGTTCACTGTGAGACTTACAACAAGCTCGCCTATGAGCTCGCGGGTATCTGAAAATGTCCATACTATCGGTGTTAAAAACAGTCACTTTTGCTCACCGTAGAGAATCTCTTAACGTGCCTCTTCCATCCACAACCCTCCACATCCCCCTTCTGCTGCAACTTCTGCTCTCAATCCGCTGGGGGACTGTTCGTGCTTGGGATCTTGAGCCGACTTAAAAGTTACCTCCTTTCCTGCATTGCCCATCTCCCCTGCTCCCTCCCATCTCCCCTGCTCCCTCCCATCTCCCCCTTTCCCCGCAGACTGCTCGTGAAGTCATCGGTGCGTTGAGCTGCGGTGAGTCTTTGCTCTACCGCTACCTCCCAAGCCACCACAGGCAGCAGCAGCAGCAGCAGCGAATATCCATTTCTTCCCCAACCAGTCCGAGCATTGCTGGCATGGAGGGCTCTCACCTCAACAATGCCAGGCGCCTCTCCCCCATTGCTCTCCTCCCCTGCTCCTCCTGATCCCCCCCCGCCCCACAGACTGCTCGTGACGTCATCAACGCCTTGACATGTGCTGAATCCTTTCTCCACCGCTACCTCCCACGCCACTACAAGCAGCAGCTACAGCAGCAGCAGCAACCATTTCCCCCCTCTTCCCCAACCACTCTGAGCACTGCTGGCATGGGGGGTCTCGCTTCAACAACCGCTTCAACAAGGCCAAAGTTGCCTCTCCCTCATTGCGTTTCCCCTCCCCTGCTCCTCTCGATCCTCCCCCCGGCGCCCGCCCTGCAGACTGCTCGTGACGTCATCAACGCTTTGACCTGTGCCGAATCCTCACTCTACCGTTACCTGCCGAACCACTACAAGCAGCAGCAGCAGCAGCAGCAGCAACCGAACTCCTCTTCCCCAACCACTCTGAGCACTGCTGGCATGGGGGGGTCTCGCTTCAACAAGGCCAAGGGCGCCTCCTCTCTCATGCAGCGGCCACCTTCCTCTGTCGCTCCGTTGCAAAACCTCCCTGCCTCCTTCCTGCCCCCTTCTGCTCCACTCACCCGACCTGCCGGCACCCAAGTGGTGAGAAATACAACTGTTCTGACCTGCTTGTTCTGAAACACCACTGGCTCTCCAATCGAGGTGCATTTGCTTCCTCCCTTCTGCAAGCTTCCAACCCTCATCGCCCCTCTCACGAACCCTGCCTGTACGCAAGTGGTGATAGAAACCTAATAAGTAACTTTTATGGAGCCACTCAAACAGGGCATCTTCTTATTAAAAGGTGTGTTCCGAGCCGAGTCAAACACTCCTTTTGAGTCGACTCAAAACAGACTCTTATGGAGCCACTCAAACTAGGTCTCTTCTTCTAATTAGCAGCATAGCCATTCTCTTCTCGTTTGTGTGTGTGTGTGTGTGTGTGTGTGTGTGTGTGTGTGTGTGTATGTGTGTGTGTGTGTATGTGTGTGTGTATGTGTGTGTGATGGAGTGAGCAGGTACTGGAGAGGACAGAAGGTGGAAAGGTGCTGGTGGTTCACATTCCCCCTGCCGGTTTGACGCGGGAGGCTGTCGGCACAGGCGGCTTTGCCATAGTGAGTACTTTGATGCATGAATGCACGGTCATACGACGAAATGCATGTACGATGGATGGAGTCTAGTTTCGAGGCGCCTCAAAACTGTATGATGGATGGTTGTGTGACTGAAGGTGGGGAAGTGCTGACGTCATTCTTCCTGCTGTCTTGACATGGGAGGCAGTCGGCATGGGCTGATATGCGAGTGTGATCAACAACAGATTTGCTGGTTAGAGTTTAACCTGCTTGCTTTCAGTCCACTCAAAAGCGGAGGGTACGCTAGTGTGAGCTGTTAGAGATTGGCTGCAATTCGGTTGGCACAACTTTGTGTGTTGGCACTTTGTTGGTTTTAGGGATACGCATATAGGTTAGGTTGGGTGTAGCTATGTTTTCATCCCCAACCTATCCCAACCCAACCTATCCCAAATCCCCACGATTTGGGAGGATTCCCTTGGGATTCCCTCCGATTCTCCCTTATCCCTTCCCATCCTCTCCGATGCTAGGTACTTAAGGATGTATGCTCTTGCTCATTCCATCAATGAAGTTCTCAGTTTCTGATATGAGCAAGGGCAGATATGAAGTTGACCTGGTCACGTTTTGGGCCTGGTTGCTGGATATCGATCCGTTTCTCAGCAATCAAGCACACGTCCCTCCACCTCACTTCTCTCCCAGTATCATCCCTCCACCTCTACTCTCTCCCTCCATTCGCTTTCCATGTACTCGCCTTCCCTTGTCTGCCACTCACGCCTCATCCCTATTTGGACCGCCTAGGCACTCATAGGGGGGGCGCCTCTTGTCTGATTGTCCCAATGTTCCCCTCCTGTCTCTCTCTTTTCTCCTCTTCCTCTCCTCTCTCCTCTCCCCCCTCGTCAGGCCTGGAATGCCTTCATTGCTTTTTGGACTGCCTCAGCACTCACAGGAGGGGCGCCTCTTCTATTCACTGCGTTCTCCATCCCCTTCTGGCTCGTGGGCGGAGAGTGAGTGGATTGCTGGGTATCGGTGTGTCCGTGGTCCTTGTGCCGAGTCCTATTCAGCATTCATACCATCTTCCCTCCGCTTCTCCTCACTGCATTCTCCATCACCTTCTGGCTCGTGGGCATGGAGTGAATTTCCTCTGTCTTACCCCCCCTCTTGCTTCTTCATTCAGGGAGGCGAGCTTCACCTTCTGATCCCCCTCCTCCCCCCACCCCCCCCCCCGCTCTCTCTGTGTCTTAACCGTCTGCCTCTCTGCTTTCCAGCCTGGCCAAAAAGGTGGTCTCCTCAATCGCAGTGTCGGTGGATCTGGTGTTTGACCGCCGGGGGGAAGGGCCTGGAGGGGATTTCAGCATAACCTGGCGGGTGGGCGATCTATGGAGCCACACCGAGAGGGGCAGATGCGCTGATGTTTCACGGGCTGCAGTGGTGGTGGAAGGGGTGAGCATTGTGTAGAAGACTGCAGAGGTACTGCACCTTGTAGTAAAGAGGGGTGACGAATGAATGAAGGGAGAAATTCGCACAGGGGAAGGGCAGATACGCCAATGTTTCACGGGCTGCAGTGGGGTGAGTCTGCGTGTTACGGGCTCGTTGACTTTTGAGTCGACTTTGGACTTTTGGGTCGACTCAAAAGTCAGCATGGGCTGCGGTGCTTGTAGAAGGCGGGAGTATTAGTGTTATGGGCTTTTTTTCGCTGTAGAATGGGCCTGGCGTTTGAGAGGGGGGCCACGGGGAGGGGACAGGGGGAGGGGGAAGAGGGGGAAGAGGAGGAGAGGGGGGGAGGGGGGAGGGAGGGCATGGGTGAAAGGGATTTGATGGGAGTTGATGAGCATCACTTGGCGGTTGGGCGAGCTTTGGAGCCACACTGAATGGGGCAGATTCTCTAACGTTTCATTCCTCTCTTCTCTCACCCTCACGCACTCTCCCTCATTCCCTTCATTCATCCCCCTCTACCTCCCTCTTCCTCCCTCCAGTTCCAAAACGGCGAGCCAATGGCAGTTTGCCAGCTGGCGGAAGGCGTGAAGGAGCATCGCTTTGGAGGCGGGCTGAAGCCGGTGGAGCAGCAGTGGGTGGTGGGGCAGATAGGGGAGTTCCTGGGGATTGGGTTTGGGGGGGTGCTGGGGGTGGATGAGGAGGCGAGTAGGAGGGGAGGGAGGAATCAGTGGAGCGACGATGAGGAGTGGTGAGGAGAAACCCAATATGCCCATGCATTGCGATGCACAATTGTTAAAGCAAAGCGCGTGTGATATGTGGTGGGCAGAATATGCCTACGACATGTTTGCTTATCGTAAACGCCCGGATAGAAGACCCCCCTAAGTCTTATCATATACCGAGCAAGTCGTGAAGTTTCTTGTTGAAAGTACCTCAAAAGACTTGAGCGTTTCTGAAGTGTAACACTACACTCGAGGAAGACTACAAGGGGTACGCGAGTCAACGGAGGTTACACGAGGGGGCGGACAAAGAACACGAAGGGTCTGGGACTCAAAGGGTCGCAACTGGAGGTTGCGACTGACCGTTACAACAGCGCGGATGGTAACCGAAGCGACAATCGAGTCGCTGTGCGACTCGATAAACCGCTACTGCAACTGTACTCTACAACTGTTTTCTTATCTTCTATATATTGCTGTATGCTTGTCTCTTTAATCAATCACTTGTTCTCACATACTAGCACAAGGGTTCAACTGTCTCAAACTTCCGCTGCACTACTCAAGTCTCAAAGTCTCTACAGCTGGGACTTAGTCTCTGCAAAAGATCCTAAGGGCTTTTCTCAGCCCAACATGGTATGAGAGCTGGTCAGAGACCAAAACTCCCAGCAACTACACTCCATCAACAACCAGCAACTCAACTTGATTCAACAACTCCATTGATTACAAGACATGGACAACAAGGGCAAGAAAGTCTCTACGGGCTCACCCAGCGCCCAAGAAACTCAACACGGCAACTCTGGTCTGCACACCTCAGGACTGCAGACAGAGACCGGGACTGCTCAAGAAACAACGGGAAGAGTACCAGAGATGGTGACCCCGTCTCCCTCTTCAAGTGTGGACCCGAATCTCATGGAGAGATTCTTCAGCTTCATGTCACACTTCGACCAGCAGCAGCAGACAAGGACACCTGCGCACTCAACACAGAGCAATGGAGGGAATATGGGATTAGCGCCGATGAGCCTCGACAACTCATCCTTCGGGCGACACAATCAAGCGCCTACCTTTGCGCCTTATCACTCTTCACCGGGGACGTTCGAGTTCATGCCGCCCCGTGCCCAACCAACAGCAGCTGCATCACAACAAACACCAAACGAGATTTTAAGTCTCCAGGCACAGTTTTCACACGTGATTAAACTGCAGACATCATCACCGTTCAACGGACACGACTTCTTTACCTGGAGCTTCGAGTTCGAGCTGCTGATGGAGGCCGCGCATCTTCTGGGATACTTCAACGGGTCCCTGCCATTCCCAAGCAACGGCACTGGGAAGGAACAAGAAATCTTCACGTATCAGTCGCTGCTGGCGTATACGGTACTCCTGAGAAACCTGTCACCACAAGAGCAGCAGAGCATCAGAACGTATCGGAGTAATGGAAACTCCGCGGAACTCGCATGGCATCATCTCAAATGCCTCTATCAAGCAAACGACAGCGTGACACAAAGCAGACTCATGCAACAGCTGACAACAATACAGATGAAGACCGGGGAAAAGGCGATGCAGTATATGAGTCGCTGTCAGACTCTCCGCGACCGCCTGCTTCGGTGCGGAGGAACGATCACTGAAGAAAGCTTCGTGACACTTGTCCTCGCCGGGCTCGGACCAGAATGGAGAACCACACGATCGCTTCTTCGCGCCCACGGAAGGATCTCGGAGATGCACCTCTGCGCCGAGCTTCACGCTGAACAACAGGAGATGGATCTGTTCGAAGAAAGACAACCAAGGAAGCAACAGCAGTTAGTCTTTTACACTCAACGAAGAAATGACAACAACTACAACCGACGCAGCAAGCAAGATCAACGTGACAACCGAGGACTCACCATCGTGCCGCCGTTCTGCCACAACTGCCAGACTTCCGGGCACTCCAAAGTCAACTGCAACCGCCCTCGCGTTTACCGTGCAGCAGACCCACAAGTCGCTTCCACTCAAGCAAGTCCTCCAAGGCGCTCTTCAACATCTGCACAACAAACACCCAACATCATCAACTGCATGGTACACATCGACAACTGCGCACCCGGTTCACCACCCACCTACGCACCAGACGAAGAGGAATTCCCGCCGCCGCGCTCACAAGGACTTCAGGTCAACCCGACATACGCTGCAGTCGCCAACGCCGAACCCACCGGGCGAAACACCTGGTTCTTGGACAGCTGCTGCGGTCAACACATGTGCTCCTCGGGACGCTTCGTGCAACAGGAGAAACGACTCAACCGCGACGTCGTCATCACCGTCGCCAACAACGAAAACCTGAAGACAAACAGACAGGGCGTGGTTCAGTTACAATCCATGGAGACGAATGTCATACTTCAACTCAACAAGGTGCTCATTGTCGACAATCTGGGATACAACCTACTAAGCGTAAGCCAACTAATGGCCAAGGGGATTCACCTGGAGTGCGACTCTTACTCCAACGAGTTCCGGCTTTACCACGGGAAGGGCGGCCTCTTCATCGGTCGTGCCCTCCTGAAGTCCGGCGTCTTCGTGTTGGACTTCGTCCCCGACCGCGGAACTGCCGACAGCGATGGCATCGTATCATTCGCCGCCTGGACTCACCCGCCGGATCTTGATCCCGACTTCGACAGTGATGGCTTCTGGCACTCCAACACCATACCTGCAGCAGAGAGAACACGAGCATTAGCAGTCATCAAACAAGAAAGACAAGTACCCGCAAGCGTCCCAACAAAACCATCACCTGCAGTATCGGCAGCAGGACCCAGCCGAGTACCACCACCAGCGACACGAGGACCGCCAACCGAAGCAGACCAACTTATGCCCGTCACACGAGAAGCTTGTCGAAGTCCCGCCTCGGTCGTCGCGTTCTTCTCCAACGCCGACATCTACCACCGCTCGCCCGGCCACCGCGCTCCCGACGACATCTGGCACCAACGTCTCGGACATCCTGCAAACAGCACGATACTTCAAACAATCCAAGCAGAGGTGTTAGAACGCAACGCCCTTCTGACGACGAGCGGCCAGGAACTCCGACGACCACGCGCACGGTGCTTCACATGCCCCGAAGCAGATCTTCCTCATCAACCTTTCCCAGCCCATCACAATCCAAGCGCACCCACTTACGCTCCGATGGAAAAGGTCTACAGCGATATCTTAAACATGCCTCGAGACGATACCGAAGCCGACTTCAACTACGTCATCACGTTCATCGACGCCGCAACCAGATATGTCTGGCACTTCAATCTCAAGACACGCGATCAAGCCTTCGAAGCCTTCACAACATGGCTTCCCATCGCCGAACGAGAATCAGGAACAAAACTCAAGAGCTTCCAGTCAGATGGTGCACTGGAATACCAGTCACAACGCTTCAGGACCTATCTCGCGGAAAGGGGAATCCGACGTCTGGTGTCTCTGCCCTATGCTCACCAGCAGCAGGGGGTAGCAGAACGCATGAACCGGACCTTGCAGACGACGATGCGAAAACTGCTTCTGGGGATGAGGCTGCCCAACGCACTGTGGCCAGACGCGATGACACATGCTGTTCACCTGCACAACCTGCTGTCCTCGTCATCACTTCCCAACAACGCATCACCGCACCTGTTGTGGACAAGAAAAAGGGGCAGCACAAAATTACTCCGCGTTTTCGGCTGCATGGTACAGTACAGACCCCACACAGCCCGAGCAGGACGCTTCTCACCAAGAGCTCGATGGGGACTACACCTCGGCATCGCAAAACATTTTCACGCGTGGAAAATTCTCGACATACAAGACAAAAACACGGTGGCATCACGAGATGTTATCTTCTACGAACGACTGACGCTGCAGCATTACCTGGACAACCTTGCCAACACACAAGACCCCACCGACGGCTTCGCGGGCCTTCGCTCCTTCGCTGACCATACTGCCGAGGCTGACGCAGCAGAAGAAGACGTACCTGGAGCCTCGGAAGCTGCCGGACCACTCCCATTCTGTTCCGTACCTGTTCCACTCGATGAAGATAATCCCCTCGATAGCAACAACCTCGACACCTTTTACCACTTCGCCGACCAAGGTTACGCTACACCTCACCCCGTCGACACGAATATTTCGGAACGCATCGGCCCCAATTTCTTACCTGACCCCGAAGACGGTGACGAAGCAGCTTATTCCGGGAATGAAAATTCCCCTCGACACACGCCCACGGGACTCCAGATTCTAGGCCTCTGGGTCTCCGTCCAGAATCCGCCGCCGCCTTCTCCGCGAGAGCCTTCAACGTTGTCGCAGGCTCTGGGGGGGAACATAAGGCAAGATGGAAGGAAGCAATGGAAAAGGAATTAAAAGTTCTGCAAGACCGAGAAACATGGAAACTGGTACCTGCAACGAGCATCAACGGGAAAAACGTTCTCTCGGGGAAATGGGTGTACCGCATCAAGACCAACTCAGACGGTTCCATCGAACGATTCAAAGCTCGATGGGTCGTACGAGGCTTCGATCAACGATACGGAGCCGACTACACAGAAACCTTCGCTCCAGTCTCCCGTCACACCTCATTACGCATCCTACTCGCCGTCGCGGCCACGAAAAAACTGCCACTACGCCAAATCGATGTCGCGAATGCATTCCTATACGCACCTGTGGACGCTGAGATCTTCGTCGAACAACCCCACGGATTCATCAACGATCCCACGAAAATATGCCGACTGACAAAATCCCTATACGGGATCAAGCAAGCCCCGCGGCTCTGGCAGCAGCATCTCCACGGCCGTCTCGCAAAGATCGGCTTCCTACAATTACCGCATGACCAAGGGATGTACCGACTGCAGAAGGGAAGAGATTATGTTCTGCTCATCGTCTACGTCGACGACCTGCTCTACATCGGCTCCACTATCGACATCGCCACCTGGTTCGAAGGGGAGCTGAAAGAAGATTTAACTCTCACGGTGTCCGACGAAGTTACCCAGTACCTAGGACTGAACATCGTCGAAGACGACACGGCGTTCTACCTACACGCTGGAAAGTACTCAAGCACCGTCGCGAAGAAATTCGGTCTAGCACCGACTGCGGTCCCAACTCCCTACCGCTACGGGAACAACAGTAGCGCCTCCACAAAACTCCCCGCGAAACAAATCCAGGAGTATCAACAGAAGCTCGGCTGCCTACTATTCGCAGCAGTAACCTGCCGACCCGACCTATCCTATAGTGCGAGTCAGCTGGCGACACATCTGAAGCAGCCGCAACAGGAAGATCTCGAAGAACTCAATCGAGCGCTACTCTACTTCGTCTCCACGCCGACGATCGGGCTCACCTACAGCAAGGCAACAACACCGTCCGTACGACTACTCGGATACGTCGACGCCGACCACGCGGGAGACAGCGAAAATCGACGGTCTAGGACGGGCTACATCTACCGACTAGAACCTATCGGAACTATCTCCTGGCAGTCGAGCAAACAGGAGTTAATCGCACTATCCTCAGCCGAAGCAGAGTATGTCGCCCTTTGTACTGCAACCAAGGAAGGACTCTACCTACGGGAGTTACTCGAGGAAGCGAAGATCGCGACCCTACCCGCCTTCTCACTCCTCTGCGACAACCAATCTGCGATCAAAATCGCGAACAAGGATGGCTTCGCCAACCGAACCAAGCACATCGCCCTACGGTACTTCTTCGTCAAGGATGAAATCGCGAAGGGGAGACTTCAACTCAGTTACTGCCCGACGACAGAAATGGCCGCAGACTATTTGACGAAGAAATTGGCGAAGACAAAATTCGACCACTGCATGCTGTTGACCGGGCAGACAAACGTCACCGGATCTGAACAAGTCAGCACTCCAGAAACGAAGGGGAGTGTTGAAAGTACCTCAAAAGACTTGAGCGTTTCTGAAGTGTAACACTACACTCGAGGAAGACTACAAGGGGTACGCGAGTCAACGGAGGTTACACGAGGGGGCGGACAAAGAACACGAAGGGTCTGGGACTCAAAGGGTCGCAACTGGAGGTTGCGACTGACCGTTACAACAGCGCGGATGGTAACCGAAGCGACAATCGAGTCGCTGTGCGACTCGATAAACCGCTACTGCAACTGTACTCTACAACTGTTTTCTTATCTTCTATATATTGCTGTATGCTTGTCTCTTTAATCAATCACTTGTTCTCACATACTAGCACAAGGGTTCAACTGTCTCAAACTTCCGCTGCACTACTCAAGTCTCAAAGTCTCTACAGCTGGGACTTAGTCTCTGCAAAAGATCCTAAGGGCTTTTCTCAGCCCAACATTTCTTATAAACGGAGAAAATCAGGGGGTCTAGGTTTCTTATAAATGGGGAATTTTCTTAAAAAACGGACCCCTTTGTGGGTGGGCAGAAAGCACCAACCGGGGTTTTAGGGAGTGTACGTTACTTGGGTCTCATACTGACTTAAAAAGTGTCTTATACAGGAAGACGCCGAATACAATATAGACGCCTAATACAAGACATAGTGTCTTCTATTCCATGGGGCCCTTCTATCCGGGCGTTTACGCTACTTGAAGGCATCATTTCATGTGTGTTAGTGATGTACCAAACCTACACATATCGACATTCTTTCCACAACATGAGAAGATGAAGAGATGCGTGGAGTATATCATATAACTCGCTTCACTACATTGTGTGGGCGAATTTCGGCTTTCGCCTTGGTTGGGAGCACAGTTTTGGGAAGTGACGTGTGTCTCCCCCTCCGTTTGAAAACACGGTTTGTGGGCTTCCGGCGTGGTTCCTCCAGGTTTCAGCGCGTCGTAAATGTGCAACAGCACAGTGCACAGTGTTATGAAAAATGCATCGAGATTTCAAGCGACCGCCAGATTTCGTAGGTCAGTGACGAAAAACGATTGCCAGCGAATCTCCCTATTTTCAGTCTCGCCGAAGTCGTGGCGAACGTCGCGAGACTCGTGAGGACTCGTGAGGACAAAGCGGTGGTCGTTCCGTTTCGTGAGGTAACCAAGAATCAGACGGGGGTTCGCACAAACGGAATCCCAGAGCGACAGTTCCGTTTTCCGGGAATCTGCAACCGAGGTATGTTCGCTGTTCATTCAAATCCCAGTCGGTGGGGCCTGTTGGAATTCTGTTGACCGTCGGTCAGGTGGGTTCGTGTGTGCTGGCTTGGAACGAAATGTCCCCCACGTTCAGAATCCAGGCACTACCCTACCTGAATCGTCACTTGTCCTCGCCGGCAGCACCACCTGTCTGCTCGCCGTTACAGACGCAGCATTAGTATTTAATCTGGCGGTAGCAGGCATGGCATTAGCTACCCATCGGCTTAGCAACCTCCTCCAAATCGCAAGCCATCAACAACCGCACGCGCCATCATGGCATCCGCCGGTGACCGTTCTCCCCGCGTCTCAAGCTCCCCTCTCCGCCGCGTCCCAGGCTCCCCTCTCCTCCGGCCGTTTCTCCTCGCCGCGGCGTGCGTCGCATGCCTCCTACTCTCGCCGGACCGCCTGCCAGTAACGCGCGCCTCGCCGCAAGTGCCGTGGGACAGCTTCAAGCCGCCGTGCGGCGCGCCCCTCTCCGACCCTCCCCCAGGCGGTGCGGCCTAGGCTCCCCTAGGCTCCCCTAGGCTTTTCCAGGCTTCACCTCTCCGATCCCCCCCCCCCCCCCCCCCCTTTCCCTCCCTCCTTCCCCCTCCGGTTGCCGTTTCTATCCTTCCCCAGCCTATTCTGTCCTTACCTAGCCTTTTCTGTCCCTCCCCACCCTTCACCAGGCTTCCCTAGGCTTCCCTAGGTTCGGGCCCGCACCACATTGGATCTCAATGCAACCCCCCTGCCTCCCCCCGCACAGGCTTCAAGCTGTGGAGCGACCCCTCCACGTGGCCTGGCGGCGTGGTGCCAGGCCTGGGGGGCGCCAAGCGCGCCAATGCCACCATCCCCTGCGGGCAGGCCGTGCTGCTCAACGTGCCTGCTGTCGTGCTAACGACGCTCACTATAAGGGGGATGCTCAAGTGAGTTCTAGGGCTTCTCAACAATGACGTAGTCCTCGTTTCTCTGACCCTCTGCTTTTGAGTCGACTCAAAAGTATCCGTGCCCGTCTCCCCCTGTATCCTTCCTCCCTCACCGCACCCTCAATCAAAGCCACCCTTAGCTGCTGACCTAGATTCTCAAGGCCGTCTTCTCCCTCACACCCAAACCCTCCTTTCTCTCCCCTCCCCTCCCCTGCTGGCTGTCTCTTACAGGATCGAGGACACTCCTTCGCGCCCGCTGGTGGCGGTGAATGCGTCGTTTGTGATCGTGGAGGGGCAGCTGCTGGTGGGCAGCAGCGCCAGGCACTTCTCCCAGAAGGCCGTCTTCACGCTCACGCCCAACCCCAACGGCCGCAACAACTACCTTTACACCGCCAATGCGCCCGCCGATGCCAGCAACCCCAGGAATTTCGGCCACAAGGCCTTCGTTGTGGTGCGTGCTGTGGGCTGCGTGCTGCAGGCTGTGGGCTATGTGCTGCGTGTTGTGGGCAGTTTTGAGGCACCTCTGCGACGTGTTTTTTAGGCGGCAATGACTAACTTCAGGCTGTGGTCGGTGGTCTGTGGTCTGTCGTCTGTGGTTTGTCGTCTATGGGGCGTGGGGTCTGGATACACTACCATGCCCCCCCCAATTCTCTTACACCTGCTTCTGAAATTCCTGATCCTGTTCCTCCTACTTTCCCGACCCCAGGTGGGCGGGCAGGTGCGCCTGCATGGGATGCCTGGGGGCTCCTCCACGCCCTCGTGGTGCCGCCTGGCAGCGTCAGCGCGGGCAGGTGACCGCAGCATCGTGGTGGACCAGGACGTGAGCGCGTGGCCCAAGGGCTTCCATGTGGGGCTCTCTGCCACTGACTTCTACGCCGACGAGGTGGACGCTGCTGCCATTGCCGATGGTGAGTTGTGAGACACTCGAACGACGAGTGGTCATGTCGGTCTCTCGTACGAACCGACGGAGTGCTCTCCTCAGAATCGATGTGGTGCTTGCTGCTGGCAACTTTCCATCACATGGGTTTAATGTAGGTCTATGAGGGTTCGTCATGCTCACCATGTGGACTCTGCTGCTCCTATTTCTCCTTCCCCACCGTGCCCCTCCCAGTCTCCCCCCTGCCCGGCGGCAAGTCGCGCATCACGCTCACCCGGCCCCTGGCGTACAACCACTTTGGCGAGTTCGTCCCAGACGGGTTCGGCGGCACCATCGACGAGCGCGGCAGCGTGGTGCTGCTGAACCGGACCGTGGTCATCCGAGGGGAGGACGAGCGCGCCCCGACCCAGTGGGAGGGCGGCCACTTCATGGTCTTCTTCACGCGGGCAGCCCAAATGATCGAAGGGGTGGAGTTCGCCCAGATGGGGCAGCAGGGGCAGCTGGGGCGCTACAACATCCACTTCCACCTGTGCGGGAACCAGGCGGGGCGCAGCGTGGTGCGGAAGAACGTGATGCACGACAGCAAGCAGCGGTGTGTGGTGGTGCACGCCACGTTCAACCTCACGGTGGAGGAGAACGTGGCGTTCAACACGAGGGGGCACTGCTTCATGGTGGAGGAGGGCGGCGAGCAGGGCAACAGCTTCATCAGAAACGTCGGCATCTGGACGCGCCCAGGTGGGTGTGTGGATGTACCTGCTTTTGAGGCGCCTAACAAGTACTTTGGGTATCCATGAGCAACACCTGTCTCCCCAACTCCTCTACGCAACACCTTCCCCACCGAATCCTGAATCCCCTCCCTTGCATATGGCTGTGCGTGTCTGTGTGTGCATGCGTGTACGCCTGGCTATGGGTGTGTGCATTCATGCGAGCAGCGGTGGTGAAGATCTCACCGGAGGAGACGGACGACGAGCCGTCCACGTTTTGGATCAGCAACGCCAACAACAACTACATTGGGAATGTGGCGGCCGGGTCAGAGGACACCGGGTAGGTTTTGGTATGGCTTGGTTTGCTCTGGCTGCATCGCACCTTCTTTAGTCTTCCCTGTCTTCGCCTCCTCTCATTCTCCCCTTCCCTCTCCCTCTCCTTCCGCCCTCTCTCTCCCCTCATCGAGACACCCATCCCCCTCAATGTCTCCCCTCATCGAGACACCCATCCCCCTCAATGTCTCCCCTCATCGAGACACCCATCCCCCTCAATGTCTCCCCTCATCGAGACACCCATCCCCCTCAATGTCTCCCCTCATCGAGACACCCATCCCCCTCAATGTCTCCCCTCCCCGGTTATATTTCCCAATCTCTCTCCCCTCTCCCAAACCATTAGTTTCTGGCTGGAGCTGAGGGACGGAGTGAGGGGGCTGTCGCTGCAGTGGCCGCTGATCAACAAGCTCATTCCCCTCAGCTACCATCGTGTCGGCACGTTCAAGGGCAACGTCGCCCACTCCTCTGGCAACGGCTTTCGGAACTACCCGGGGGGTTCTATCCGCGTTATAATGCGTCCACACTGGATGAGGACGAGGACTATGTGAGTCAGCTGCTCCTTTTCTTTGCTTAGATGAATTTTCTTCATGGTGTGTTGATGTGTGCTTGTATGTGCATGTGTGTGTGCATGGGTCTGCGCGTGCGTGCGTGCTTGCATCAAGATGGGTATGGGTGTACTTGACATGAAGCATGGGCCTCCCACCCCCCTCCCACACACTATCTATCCTCCCTCATTTATCGTATACCCCCTCCTATGGTTGTGAGAAACCCAAAAGGGCTGCTACACGTGCCTTTTGATTTGGTTCCCCTCCATATCTTAACTCTCTCCAGCTTCCGCATCATCCCTGTGCATGCCATCCGCCATCTGCCCTTTGCATGCCATCCGCCATTTGCCCTTTGCATGCCATCCGCCCTTTGCATGACATCCGCCCTTTGCATGCCATCTGCCCTTTGCATGCCATCTGCCCTTTGCATGCACCACAGTTCTATGTTGGGCTACTCAAAACATCCATTGCATGTCATGTGCATTCGTCGTATCTCTCAAGTCTTTTTCTTTCTCCAATCTTTTCCCTCGTTCCAGTGGGATAATCCTGTGTGGGTGACTATATCGGATTTCCTCCTCTTCAAGAATTTCGATTCAGGGTAAGTTGCTCATGTTCCTCGTGCTCTCCTACCCTCCTTCCTATCACCTGCCGGCTCTCCTCTACCCTACTTCCCCTTCATCTTGCTGGTCCTTAATTTTCGCTCACTTTTCTTTACCGAACCTCAT